TGACTATTTCTGGAAGGTGAATAAAGGGAATGACAAAACTGCTATAGGCAAACAAAGCCCAAATGATAAAGGCCACGAATACTCTATTAGTAAACAGTGATGCAGCTCCAAAGTAGCTGGAGTACCAGAGCGCAAAGCCCTTCCTGACTGTAACTGTCAGCTGGCTCACTGTCTTAAAGAGGCGCAGTCCATACATGCTCCTTCCACTTCCAGATTTACCTCCAATTTCTATGTGCTGCACACTGCCAAGCACTTCTTCATTTGCTGCCTCTTCTTTTTTCTCTGGTTCTTCACCAAGGACTCCATTGGATTTTATAGTCTCTGTAGAATGGGACAGAGCTTTTGTCCGGTTTTCTTCACTATCACTTCTCACCACGTATTTTTCACGGAGGTCTTTGGGAGAGAGTGGTCTCATAAGTGCCCCGCAGACACAAAGGTTCAGGGAGATAGCCCCCTGGATGAACATGGCATTCCTCCACCCAAATTCAGCACAGAGGTACTTCAGTAAGGCAGTCATTAGGAAAGTTCCAAACCCTGTTCCTGTGGTACTGAGCCCTTGTGCAAGTGCTCTTCTCTTCTGAAAATACTGCCCTACCATGACCACTGCAGGCAGATAAACCATGCCACTTCCAATTCCTATTAAAAAAATAAAAAATTAAATAAATCTGAACTTTTTGCCAACAACGTAAAAAGCAGTGAAAAAAAAAAATCAGTTCTACTCCTAACTTTTGTGTAAGCATAGAAGTAAAACCAATAATAAATATTCAATTCTGATGTTAGCTTTCATTTCTGTCTTGTACTGTTTTCCAAAACCTGCAATACACATTCCAGCGAGAATGCAATACTGATATTTATTGCTGGAAAAACTAAACACATGGAGTATAAAACCTTTATCTCAGGTCAGCAGGACAACACTGGAAAGTTACAAATGTCCCACAACCAATCAGTGACAGTTACTATGGGGACAAACACAGATACAGCCTATTTTGAAATATCTGCAATTATAATACCCACATCTGATGGTATCAGTGACCAGAACTGCTTAGTGAGCACATCTTGTTGCTTTCACCTAAGTTCCCCAGCAATGAAGATTCACACAGGGTTCCTGTCCTCATTCCATAACTGCTGAGCCATCGTGACCATGACATGTATTTGAGGAGTCAGCACATGGGGTTCGTGCACTGGTGGGACCTCAGGTGGCTTCCAGGTTGGTTCTTTTTGGGCAGCCCAGGGAGGGCCACACAGTAGCTGCTCAGTTTTATAAAGCAGATCTCTAATTCTGTTGAAAATCCCTCACCTGTAGTTAAAAACCAGGGTGGGTATTCATGGCATATACTTTGAGCAGAAAGCAATGAATTGTGCAAACACATTAGAAGTAACAGTTCACCGTTTTTTTCTCCGAGTAAATTCTTCATAGAGGAATTTGGATTGGAACAGATGTATGCAGAAGATGCTTCCCAACTCACTATGATTGTAATTCAGAAGTGTTCTGTGACTTAGAAGTTTTCCTAAATAGGTGCTAATGTAGTTGCATGCAGCTACAGCATGATCAGAGAAAGCTATGATTCCAGAAAAGCCTGGAAAGAGCCCTTCAACATCACAGCAGTGACCCTGGCCAGAGCTGACCCATTTTGCTTGTTAGAAGTATTTATTTCTCTCCTAGGCAAAACACAGTTGGGCTTTTATTTTGCACCAGTGTGCAAAGTGGATAACTTTCACCTTTTTGTTTCATATCAATTAGCAGTATCTCTTTTCAGAAATGAACAGCAAATAAAATGGAGTAGTGCTTTAAGTACTTAATACTGGGTTCCTCTACATAACTTACTTCAAGTAACTGAATTTTTTCACAAGAAACATTGCTAGAAACTAAGCATTCAGGCACTAAGAATCTGTTGATTTTGAAGGAAGATACCTAAACATACATGTCTTTTTGTACTTTGATTGGGCTCTTATACATGTCAAAAGGTTTTCTAGTCATCTAATTTCATTAAAATGACAAAACATTACTTTAGTCATTTTGATTTTAAAAATTGTAGTACTATTAGTTGCTCTAAGTGGTTGTTGATACAATATGAGTAACTGTTACTAGAGACTATGTATGAAATTCAGCCCCATGCATTATCCTAAGTGAGGCTGGGGTACAGTTAATTTGCTTCCTAGCAGCACACCCGGTGCTGTGTTTTGGATTTGTCACCCAACCACTGCTGCTAACACAGGCATGGTTCAGCTGTTGTTGGACAGTGCTTACACAGCATCAAGCCCTTTCCTGTTTCTCACCCGCCGTGAGTGGGGGAGCACCAGAAGCTGGGAGGGGATGCAGTGGGACAGGGAACCCTAGCTGAACTGAAGGGACATCCCATACCATGAGATGTTGTACTCAGCAATAAAACTGGGGGAAGGGAGGAGGAAGGGAGGGCGCTTGGAGTTGTGGCAAGGTCTTCCCAGGTAATAGTTCCACCTGACCAAGCCCTGCTTTGCTGGAATCAGCTGAATGCCTGCCTGCCCATGGGAAGGAGTGAACTAATTCCTTATCTTTGTTTTGCTTGTGCATTCAGCTTTTGCTTTATCTACTAAACTCTCTTTATCTCGTTTTCACTTTTCTGATTCTCTCCCCATTCTACTTTGGGAGAGTGAGTGAGCAGATGTGTGCAGCTTAGCTGCCTACAAGCTGCAGCCCACTTCACCCTTTAAAATGGGTTTTGAAGCAGTGCAGAATTATCATAATCCAGTATTTTATTAATGTGGAGTAACTTCTGGAGAAAATATTTGTTATTCTTTCCTGTGACAAAGAGAGGAGTTAGCTAGATATGAAATTAATCTTTAAATTTTACTTGTCAGAGTTTGGGTTACAATAATTCTCCTAATTAAAAATGTCCTCTAATATATTCACTTCGGTGAAACTGATAAAAGTACAACCTTCACATGGCAAATTTAAAAAGCAACAGAAGTCACTGGGCCCAATCCACTGAGTAAATAAGTTTCCTAAAAAGACAACAGGCTGTAAAAAGTGTGAAAGCAGGACTGGAATAACTTTACAGTCTACGTTTCCTATTTACTCACTCAGATAAGCTTCAAAGAAATCAAAAATAATTGAAAGAACCTTCAAACATTAGTGCAGCTCTCACCAGCTGTCACTCCAAAGGTGAGGAAGAGGTAGTGCACATTTGAGGCATAGGCACTCAGTATCCAACCCAGGGCATTCAGTACCCCTCCAATTATGGCTGTCATGCGGCACCCACACATGCTGATGAATAAACCAATAAAAGGACCTGTTAAAAAACATGAAAGAAATCATAAATTATTTATTCCATTCTTTATGCTCTAATAATTTTTCACCTTAAGTTTCTTAATGTTTTTAAAAAAATGTTATTTTTCATATTCATTCTTAAAATCATGGAAAGAGAAATGCAACCAATTGATGATGTACTTAGCAAATACCTGCAAGACCTACAGTCAAAGTTGCCCCATGAAGAAGGGACAGTTTAAACAGAGGAATAAGCTGAAACTCTTGTTCCCTATGCTGATGCTTTATGAGTGCAAGACTTTTTTCACAAGTAACCAGCAGTTAAGCATTTTATCTTGTTTTCAGTAAAATATTTTAGGCAGATCTAGACACAACTTGTTCAGTCTTAAGTTAGGGAGTCACGGGTGTGTATGTACATATATTCTCCATATATTATTTTGGGTTGATCCAACTACATCTAAAAAAATACATTTTCATTCAGCTACAAACTGAAATAAAAACTGTGAGAATTCAACATTTTCTTCTCACAGATAGAGTATGGGGAGGACTCGAAGCTTCACAGATCATTTTTTAATTCTAGCCAGACCTGAAAGTCACAGGCTTCCTTTCTCTATCTAGATTGTGAAATTTGTCCTGGTGACTTTAAAAAGTCAACTCGGGACAACCATAAGAAAATACTTTAGGGATGAATGGCAAACATATTCTTAAAATCTATATAGTTTTAAAATATGTGATGTTGGCACATACCTACAATAAGCGTGATGCCCATGCTGAGGGAGCTAATCCACGCTGTTAAGCCACGACTTTGATTAAACTCTTCAAGCCATTCCATGTTGAGTATTCCAAGGGCCATTTGAGAACCCATTATGAGTATGTGCACAAGGAAAGAGGAAAGTACAATCATCCAAGCCCATCCTCCATCAATGTTTGGATTAGGTTTAGTTGGCTTACTTCCAACTTTTGAGTCCTCTCCAAAATCATATCCAATATCCTCTCGACTAGCATACATTTTCTCCACAGTATTCTGAAGCAAATGCAGTAAATACCTAAGAATACATACAAAATAATCAGATTTTGTAGTTTGGTTATAGTGAATGCCATAAATCACTATCATATTGCACCACCATGGTTAGCGCAGTTGTAGTGAATACTGTGACTTCAATGTTCAAATCTAAAATGCTTAGAAAATTGTCCAATTGATTTATTTCTTTGTGCAACTTGTTATCATGGCTGTCTTACAGGCTGACAGTAGGCTACATTATTTCCATTCCTTTATATTTTACTTACTTTTAGATGGCTGAGAGCCCTCACTCCTCATGGGTTGACTGTAGTCACAAAAATGACTGGTCTCTCTCTGTATATTACTTCTCTGTGTCACCTTCTGCTGTCCCAGGAAGATGATGTGCCTCTCTGTTCAACTTCATAAAGCTTGGAGTAAAGAAGTGAAATCCTGAAGCAGCAGGTAGATGAAGTTACCACATCTTCTCAGAAGAAACCAGTTTGGGGATGTATTTCTTCCTTAGCAGTGGAAGAACAAGAATTAAGACAGCAAAAGATAAGGAATTAAGATTCTTGATTTTCAAAATGTTTTGCTTACATGAATCACAACGAGGTGATTGTTACTACATCTCCAGAAAGATTTTTATTATGCTTTCAGTTTCCATAGTATTAATCCTTATAATCCTACTAAAAAAAAGAATTCTTCCAAATCAATGTCAATGCCTATCAGAATCAAACTNAAAAAAAAATTAAAAATCATTGAAGTAGAATCACAGAATATACTGGGTTGGGAGGGACCTATTGAGTCCAACTGAATCACTTCAGAAATAGATGAGAACTTTTCTTCAGATTTGCATCACAGAAATAGTAATTTTCGTATGCTGAATTAATGGAATTATTATAATAGCATTACAACAGTACTTGACTAGCCAGGCAAGAAATACAATCATTTTCTTATACTCAGTACCTAATCTTTCATCAGACTGGATACATAGTAGAAAAGAGTTTCATAAATCATTCATGTCCTGACCAAATTCTCTCATAGGACTAGTGTAAATCAGAGTAACTGCACTGCAGTCAACGGATTTTCACCAATGCTTAATGGTGAAAAGTTAAAAGAGAAGCAAGGGTAAGGGTTCCTAGCATTGTTCTAATATTAAAATACTAGTAGTGTGTTTTTAATCATTGTATTTGGTAGTTCTAAAGTAAAATATCTTAACTAATTTTAAAAGCATATTTCCAATAATTTATAAGCATTGTGGAGCACATTTGCTTTTCACTTAAGTGCAGCTAAATGTGGTAGGTTCTATAAGAAAAACATCATACTGTCACACAAGAGAAACATGAAAACAAGAAAGTTCTGTAAAAAAAACTTCTGGAATTTGTTCTATACTTGTGCTTCTTCTGTAGATTTTTCTCTTGGCTGTTTCTTTTCAATACAAGGTTGTATAAGTAAAAATATTATTCCCACCATGTATAGCAATCCAGCTATGTAAAAAGAAAAATCGTATTTTTGTGTGATGTCATAGATCCAACCTGGAAAATAAGGACAAAACATGTTTGTTACAAAGCTTGACAGAAAGGTACATTTCATGAGAAAATACAAAAAAATACTACACATTTCTTTCATGACATTTCTGTCAAATCCACAGATGCTCTGTGGAAAAATATTTTTCAAATAAGTTACCACAGGTCTGTTTTTAAAACTGATATTTTGGAATCCCAAACCAATTAGTTCCTCCTCCCTGACACTGCCTCTGTAAAATGCCCAATACTGGTTAGTTCAAATGCTGTGCCTTGTGCAAGCAAACACATTCCCCACAGCTGTTTCCAAGCCTCACATACCAGTAGAAGACTGATCAAGAGATACAATCTCAATACTGCAATGACTCTCGTTCCAGCCCCAATTCCTTTGCAAAAATACATTAAGGTTACTTCTTCATTAAAGTTATTTCTTCATTACTTCAGGAGGGTTTGAGAACCCAAATGAACAAAACTCCCTCACGCCACACTGGCTGCATTGCAATGTACCCACAAGATCAGAAGCTCCCTTTACATCAGCTACTTGCATCCAATTTGCTTCGTAACCAAAGCCCAACTACAGAGCCAGGTTTAGCACGGACTGGGAGGTGCTGAGGGAACTCTGAGGTGGCAGAGTAAAACACTGCTGCTGTCAAGAGCACTGAGCAAGCTTTCTTCTCACTCGTGTCGCTCACCCAGTGGTGGGCAGAGAAGGGGCTCTCACTTCCCTGGGCTGCTCGTGCTGCTGCTGCCTTCCCTTCAGCCTAGAGCTGCCCCTGGCTGACCATGGCCACCACTCCCTAGATTTCTCACAGCACCTCTGCAAAAGAGAGCTGGAGTCTGATATAGTACTGACAATCAGTACCTGTATCTCTTCTGTACTCCCCCACCTCTTTCTATGAGGAAATTTATAATGAATGTCTATTTAAACCTATGTAACTCTAGGGACAGCATACATACACTTCTCCCTTCTGCTGAGGATGGCAGTAAAGAGGCTATGAGCAGTGCAGTCCCCAAAGTAGGTATTTCTGGCTGAAGGAGGGCAAAGCAAAGTTAGTTAAATCAACACATCAGTTGGCAGTTTGGAGTGGGGATGCCCAAACACAAAGCACAGTCTTTGGGGTAATGCTGTGGTACAAACAGCTGCCTACCCTGAGAAGTAATCACCATTTCTTCATGTGGGTAAAGGAATGAGTATGTAGAGTGCATATGGCATACAAAACATGAAAAAATAGGTTACATCTTTCCCATTTTAAAACGCGTATGATAACTATTTTAAGGAAACGTGCCACTGTAAGGAAAGGTTGTAATAGATTTGGGGTTATGTCCCAGAACCGTAATTTGCAATGTGAGGGCAGTGAGCTGGAACCCAGCAGATGTGACCTGTAAACCTGTACAATGTAAAGCTCAATGTTATGTCCATTCTGGAGTAGCTGTGATTTTGTTAACTATACATAGCATAAGAAAGTTTAGTAATATAAAGAGTCACACGGTCATTACACAAACATCTGTTCATTAGCAATCTGAACTTTTTACCTGCGAAGGGTGGTCCAAACAAAGCAGATATTCCATTGGCACAAATGATGATGCCATAGGCATTTGCAAGGTGTTTAGTTCCAACTAAATCTTCAGTCACAACAGGCATTAGAGAAAAATAGCCACTAGAAAATCCTATTAGAGCACAAACCACAGCCAGGCCAACGTATGTCTGCATTAGTGGCAAAGTAAGAATGCAGATGACTAGGGTAAAGTTAGCCATGAGGAAGACATTCCATGTGCTGATGCACGGGAGATCAGAGATGATTCCAAGGATCACTTTACCGAAAATATGAACAATGGCTATAATGGATGTCAAAGGAAATACATTGTCCTGCCTAGATAAGTTGTACTGCTTGACTATTTCTGGAAGGTGAATAAAGGGAATGACAAAACTGCTATAGGCAAACAAAGCCCAAATGATAAAGGCCACGAATACTCTATTAGTAAACAGTGATGCAGCTCCAAAGTAGCTGGAGTACCAGAGCGCAAAGCCCTTCCTGACTGTAACTGTCAGCTGGCTCACTGTCTTAAAGAGGCGCAGTCCATACATGCTCCTTCCACTTCCAGATTTACCTCCAATTTCTATGTGCTGCACACTGCCAAGCACTTCTTCATTTGCTGCCTCTTCTTTTTTCTCTGGTTCTTCACCAAGGACTCCATTGGATTTTATAGTCTCTGTAGAATGGGACAGAGCTTTTGTCCGGTTTTCTTCACTATCACTTCTCACCACGTATTTTTCACGGAGGTCTTTGGGAGAGAGTGGTCTCATAAGTGCCCCGCAGACACAAAGGTTCAGGGAGATAGCCCCCTGGATGAACATGGCATTCCTCCACCCAAATTCAGCACAGAGGTACTTCAGTAAGGCAGTCATTAGGAAAGTTCCAAACCCTGTTCCTGTGGTACTGAGCCCTTGTGCAAGTGCTCTTCTCTTCTGAAAATACTGCCCTACCATGACCACTGCAGGCAGATAAACCATGCCACTTCCAATTCCTATTAAAAAAATAAAAAATTAAATAAATCTGAACTTTTTGCCAACAACGTAAAAAGCAGTGAAAAAAAAAAATCAGTTCTACTCCTAACTTTTGTGTAAGCATAGAAGTAAAACCAATAATAAATATTCAATTCTGATGTTAGCTTTCATTTCTGTCTTGTACTGTTTTCCAAAACCTGCAATACACATTCCAGCGAGAATGCAATACTGATATTTATTGCTGGAAAAACTAAACACATGGAGTATAAAACCTTTATCTCAGGTCAGCAGGACAACACTGGAAAGTTACAAATGTCCCACAACCAATCAGTGACAGTTACTATGGGGACAAACACAGATACAGCCTATTTTGAAATATCTGCAATTATAATACCCACATCTGATGGTATCAGTGACCAGAACTGCTTAGTGAGCACATCTTGTTGCTTTCACCTAAGTTCCCCAGCAATGAAGATTCACACAGGGTTCCTGTCCTCATTCCATAACTGCTGAGCCATCGTGACCATGACATGTATTTGAGGAGTCAGCACATGGGGTTCGTGCACTGGTGGGACCTCAGGTGGCTTCCAGGTTGGTTCTTTTTGGGCAGCCCAGGGAGGGCCACACAGTAGCTGCTCAGTTTTATAAAGCAGATCTCTAATTCTGTTGAAAATCCCTCACCTGTAGTTAAAAACCAGGGTGGGTATTCATGGCATATACTTTGAGCAGAAAGCAATGAATTGTGCAAACACATTAGAAGTAACAGTTCACCGTTTTTTTCTCCGAGTAAATTCTTCATAGAGGAATTTGGATTGGAACAGATGTATGCAGAAGATGCTTCCCAACTCACTATGATTGTAATTCAGAAGTGTTCTGTGACTTAGAAGTTTTCCTAAATAGGTGCTAATGTAGTTGCATGCAGCTACAGCATGATCAGAGAAAGCTATGATTCCAGAAAAGCCTGGAAAGAGCCCTTCAACATCACAGCAGTGACCCTGGCCAGAGCTGACCCATTTTGCTTGTTAGAAGTATTTATTTCTCTCCTAGGCAAAACACAGTTGGGCTTTTATTTTGCACCAGTGTGCAAAGTGGATAACTTTCACCTTTTTGTTTCATATCAATTAGCAGTATCTCTTTTCAGAAATGAACAGCAAATAAAATGGAGTAGTGCTTTAAGTACTTAATACTGGGTTCCTCTACATAACTTACTTCAAGTAACTGAATTTTTTCACAAGAAACATTGCTAGAAACTAAGCATTCAGGCACTAAGAATCTGTTGATTTTGAAGGAAGATACCTAAACATACATGTCTTTTTGTACTTTGATTGGGCTCTTATACATGTCAAAAGGTTTTCTAGTCATCTAATTTCATTAAAATGACAAAACATTACTTTAGTCATTTTGATTTTAAAAATTGTAGTACTATTAGTTGCTCTAAGTGGTTGTTGATACAATATGAGTAACTGTTACTAGAGACTATGTATGAAATTCAGCCCCATGCATTATCCTAAGTGAGGCTGGGGTACAGTTAATTTGCTTCCTAGCAGCACACCCGGTGCTGTGTTTTGGATTTGTCACCCAACCACTGCTGCTAACACAGGCATGGTTCAGCTGTTGTTGGACAGTGCTTACACAGCATCAAGCCCTTTCCTGTTTCTCACCCCCCGTGAGTAGGGGAGCACCAGAAGCTGGGAGGGGATGCAGTGGGACAGGGAACCCTAGCTGAACTGAAGGGACATCCCATACCATGAGATGTTGTACTCAGCAATAAAACTGGGGGAAGGGAGGAGGAAGGGAGGGCGCTTGGAGTTGTGGCAAGGTCTTCCCAGGTAATAGTTCCACCTGACCAAGCCCTGCTTTGCTGGAATCAGCTGAATGCCTGCCTGCCCATGGGAAGGAGTGAACTAATTCCTTATCTTTGTTTTGCTTGTGCATTCAGCTTTTGCTTTATCTACTAAACTCTCTTTATCTCGTTTTCACTTTTCTGATTCTCTCCCCATTCTACTTTGGGAGAGTGAGTGAGCAGATGTGTGCAGCTTAGCTGCCTACAAGCTGCAGCCCACTTCACCCTTTAAAATGGGTTTTGAAGCAGTGCAGAATTATCATAATCCAGTATTTTATTAATGTGGAGTAACTTCTGGAGAAAATATTTGTTATTCTTTCCTGTGACAAAGAGAGGAGTTAGCTAGATATGAAATTAATCTTTAAATTTTACTTGTCAGAGTTTGGGTTACAATAATTCTCCTAATTAAAAATGTCCTCTAATATATTCACTTCGGTGAAACTGATAAAAGTACAACCTTCACATGGCAAATTTAAAAAGCAACAGAAGTCACTGGGCCCAATCCACTGAGTAAATAAGTTTCCTAAAAAGACAACAGGCTGTAAAAAGTGTGAAAGCAGGACTGGAATAACTTTACAGTCTACGTTTCCTATTTACTCACTCAGATAAGCTTCAAAGAAATCAAAAATAATTGAAAGAACCTTCAAACATTAGTGCAGCTCTCACCAGCTGTCACTCCAAAGGTGAGGAAGAGGTAGTGCACATTTGAGGCATAGGCACTCAGTATCCAACCCAGGGCATTCAGTACCCCTCCAATTATGGCTGTCATGCGGCACCCACACATGCTGATGAATAAACCAATAAAAGGACCTGTTAAAAAACATGAAAGAAATCATAAATTATTTATTCCATTCTTTATGCTCTAATAATTTTTCACCTTAAGTTTCTTAATGTTTTTAAAAAAATGTTATTTTTCATATTCATTCTTAAAATCATGGAAAGAGAAATGCAACCAATTGATGATGTACTTAGCAAATACCTGCAAGACCTACAGTCAAAGTTGCCCCATGAAGAAGGGACAGTTTAAACAGAGGAATAAGCTGAAACTCTTGTTCCCTATGCTGATGCTTTATGAGTGCAAGACTTTTTTCACAAGTAACCAGCAGTTAAGCATTTTATCTTGTTTTCAGTAAAATATTTTAGGCAGATCTAGACACAACTTGTTCAGTCTTAAGTTAGGGAGTCACGGGTGTGTATGTACATATATTCTCCATATATTATTTTGGGTTGATCCAACTACATCTAAAAAAATACATTTTCATTCAGCTACAAACTGAAATAAAAACTGTGAGAATTCAACATTTTCTTCTCACAGATAGAGTATGGGGAGGACTCGAAGCTTCACAGATCATTTTTTAATTCTAGCCAGACCTGAAAGTCACAGGCTTCCTTTCTCTATCTAGATTGTGAAATTTGTCCTGGTGACTTTAAAAAGTCAACTCGGGACAACCATAAGAAAATACTTTAGGGATGAATGGCAAACATATTCTTAAAATCTATATAGTTTTAAAATATGTGATGTTGGCACATACCTACAATAAGCGTGATGCCCATGCTGAGGGAGCTAATCCACGCTGTTAAGCCACGACTTTGATTAAACTCTTCAAGCCATTCCATGTTGAGTATTCCAAGGGCCATTTGAGAACCCATTATGAGTATGTGCACAAGGAAAGAGGAAAGTACAATCATCCAAGCCCATCCTCCATCAATGTTTGGATTAGGTTTAGTTGGCTTACTTCCAACTTTTGAGTCCTCTCCAAAATCATATCCAATATCCTCTCGACTAGCATACATTTTCTCCACAGTATTCTGAAGCAAATGCAGTAAATACCTAAGAATACATACAAAATAATCAGATTTTGTAGTTTGGTTATAGTGAATGCCATAAATCACTATCATATTGCACCACCATGGTTAGCGCAGTTGTAGTGAATACTGTGACTTCAATGTTCAAATCTAAAATGCTTAGAAAATTGTCCAATTGATTTATTTCTTTGTGCAACTTGTTATCATGGCTGTCTTACAGGCTGACAGTAGGCTACATTATTTCCATTCCTTTATATTTTACTTACTTTTAGATGGCTGAGAGCCCTCACTCCTCATGGGTTGACTGTAGTCACAAAAATGACTGGTCTCTCTCTGTATATTACTTCTCTGTGTCACCTTCTGCTGTCCCAGGAAGATGATGTGCCTCTCTGTTCAACTTCATAAAGCTTGGAGTAAAGAAGTGAAATCCTGAAGCAGCAGGTAGATGAAGTTACCACATCTTCTCAGAAGAAACCAGTTTGGGGATGTATTTCTTCCTTAGCAGTGGAAGAACAAGAATTAAGACAGCAAAAGATAAGGAATTAAGATTCTTGATTTTCAAAATGTTTTGCTTACATGAATCACAACGAGGTGATTGTTACTACATCTCCAGAAAGATTTTTATTAGAGTCAATGTGGCAACAGTTTTCTATTATGCTTTCAGTTTCCATAGTATTAATCCTTATAATCCTACTAAAAAAAAGAATTCTTCCAAATCAATGTCAATGCCTATCAGAATCAAACTGAGTGGCGGAATTACATGCATTGGTGTACATAGGATCAGGTCACACTAACTTAATTTGATTACTCTGATTTATTCTATTGTTACTCTAAGTCAAGATTGCAACACAAAATGAAAATAATTTTAAAACCACTTTTAACTGATTAACAGTCAAGGTGCAGAATCCAGTCTTCCCTTCATCAGATTTCTGCTGCAACAGATTCAAATCTTACCCAACTGTGGAGCACCACATAGGTTTCCATGGAGACTAGAAATGCAATGATACAGATTACCAGAGATGGTAGTTTTTTTGTCTTTTCTTCTCCAGAGAAATAAAAATAAACATCAGCTTCACAACAGTGGAAAGGGAAAAAAGTTATTAAAAAATGTTTTAAAACGCCTCTTATGTCTCCTGTGAGCCCTCAGAATGAGTGCCTCTGGGCTGGCTCCTCACTGCTGCAAACACGTAGTGAGCAGACAAACCCAGATTCTGTACCAACTGAAAATTTGTATTTAAATCGGTGAGTACATTTTGCTTCTCAAGTTACTACCTTTCCAAACAGTTTTACTTTTTTTCTTATTGCTAGATAAACATACAGAGAAAGCCCTGGGGCATTCCAGGGTAATCCATAGCTGGAGCCAGAGCTGGCCGGTCCCAGATGCCAGTGAACACCTGTTGATACGTGCAGCCTGTCCAGTCTGGCTGCTGCTGAAGTTCCCTTTGTAGCCAAGTGCCACCTGGCCCTTCCTTGCAGTGCAGGTAATCACGTGTAACTAAGGGCAGCTTGAGAGTGTAGGTTCTTCCAAGTGCACGCTGATTTGCCTCACATGTGAGCTGCAGCTAAAATACGTTGCACTCCTGGTAGCAAATTTTTCATAGATGGATGTTCTTTAGTACTAAATTGTCATTAGCCCTAACTTGGCCATGGGAGTTATTGGTGATACAGTGAGGAAGAACAAGAACTGTGCATATTTAACACTTGCTGCACAGGCAGATAAGCTGGGATCAATTGATGGGTTGCCAGTGGAAGTGGATACTGAAATGCTTTCCAGGCTTTTCCTTTCCAAACTGGGAAACAGAGAATGGGGATAGTGCTTAGAGGTCCTTCTAGAGGTCCTGCAGGGTGTTTGAGGTAGGACAGGCAGCAGGGGAACAAGTCAGAGCCATGCAGTGGTGCAGACTGGTTTTTTAAAAGAACAGCCTGGTCACAATTATTAAATTGTATTATTAATTAAATTGAAGAGGACAGCCTTAGTCATAATTATACCCCACCCTTCCTCTGTAAAAGTTAGGTCTTAAAGATGACATCTCAACCCTTTCCTAACAATGTACTTTGAGCCAGATCCTCTGTTGCTGTAGGTTACAGGACTACTTACAGAGGATTCAGCCCACTCACAAGGCAGAGAGAGACTAGGTGCAAAAAGGTGATAAACACAGTGAATAATCATGCTAATGGGAAATAACAAGAAGAAGCAGAATGAAGGAAAATTGCAAGCTGTTGCACATGCTCTGTATAAGATTAATGAAAATGTATGAGGGATATTACAGTGCATCTTAGATAATGGAATACAAAATTATGTAACTGAAGATTCAGAGTCAAGATTAAATGTAAAACCTCACCTTCCTCTCTTATACTTTTGACTGCTTTTGTGCATAATGCACCTGAGTCCTGATACTGGATACAAAAAAGTTCTTCTTTGGACAGGAAATATCTTGGACAGGGCACATCTTTTACATATTCTAAATTATTTGAAGAAAAATAATTGATATATAGTGCAAAGTTATGACACTTCTCTTTGCAGTCCTGCTGACAGAACTGGCTTAGATTGAGTGGATACAAGTTAAAGTCATGCTTGTATCAACCCTTATAAATCTTCAGAAAATGCATATATTTTTCATTGGAACTGATTTCGTATTTATTATTACTTTCATACTAGTAACTTTTCACTAAGGTCACAAGTTCAGAGTGAATACACTCAAAAGCAGGGGACATCAAATCCGATAACTGCACAAACTCTCAGTCTCTGAATAAAGCAAGGATTGGATGCCTGGATCCCCTCCTCAGGGCTGACTGTCCCATGGCGTGTTGCACCCAGCAGAAAGGCACTTACTTGCCACACAGCGCTGCCAAGAACAGAGTCATGAAAGCAGAGGAGCCAAATGAACTCTTTGCAATTGTGAAATCCTAGAGAAGCTGTAATGAAAATGACAGCAGCTGATTTGTGAAGCCAGCCAGTTTGCCCAACAAGCAAGGCAGGGAAGACCCACTCACAGTTAAAGTGTTTGAACACAGCCCCTCAGAAGGAATTTAATTTAAAGGAAGGAGAATCTGGGTTCTTATTTAGTCACTTGGAAAAGAACAAGATGATTTTTTTTCCCAGAAAAGCTTTTTAGACTATATGCACACAAAGTATTCAGATCTCTTAGAAAAATGGTCCAAGCATTAGTGCCTGCAAAAATGCTGAGTATTTTTTAAAACCTGACTCATGAGCTATTTTAGGGACAAATGCAGGTGCTGTAACAAGACCTAGGTCAGCAGCAAAACACCCAAGTTCCATTTACTATCAGTGGAGCTATGGCTCTCTATCTTGTGGTTCAACTAGATCACTGAAAAACATCTGCTCTTGCTATAAAAAGTCTGTATGATGAATAATTTACATATATTTGGTCAACTTCTTCCAGCGTTTGACTGCCTCCATGTTAAAAATTATAGAATAAAATTGTACTTTAAGGGCAGTTCCAACAGATAACTCATAAATGCATTGTAACTAGTAATGAGTTTTATTTTGTGATATTCCCAGTAAACATAACACATGTAATTATTTGGTTGCTGAAGGCATACAGAGGAAACATTGCTAAAAACATGGTTTATTTTGGTTGTCATTAGTTTCAGCAGTCTGACTTCACCTTGCTATCATGCCGAACACTTCAGCTGTCAGCAATTTCAGGGAGATGTGGACACCTCTGCTAGTCAGAGCCCCAGTGCATAAAAATGCGTGCCCAGAAGGGAACACAAAATCAGGGAAATTAAACGTTTAAAAGGCTAAACTAATTACCAGGGTCACAAGTTTGCATACAGTCGGCAGCAGTCTCGTTTCCAGACCGGGTTGCTGCCCTGCTGCCCCTCTCTGAGGGATGTTTCCCAAATCCTGCTCAGGCGGGCTCCCCGGAGACCGCCCGGTGCTGCCGTGCCCCGGTGTGACCCATGCGTGCTGCCCCGTCCCCGGGGACAGCAGAATTGGTTCACACAGTGGACAGTTTTCTCCCCGTGCTACCAAGGGACGGGGCAGCGTACATCAGGCGGGCGCCTCTATTTTATACAGCCTTACAGCCTGTTTCGGGAGCAGCCCGAAGGCAGAGGATGTACTTTTTTTCTCCCAAGAGAACAGCTTTGGGAGCTTCACACGCGCCTTCCCAGCGCTCCAGTTCGGTTCACCTACGCTGGGGTGGGCACGGCGGCCACCGCCCGGGCCGCGGGGCTGCCACAGGCACAGCTCCGCAGTGGCTGCGGCCAGCCCGGGGCTGGGGCCGGGGCCGGTGCGGGGGCTCGGCCTGCGGGGGCTGCGGCGGGGCCGGGCGGCGGGGGCGGCGTTCGGGAGGCGGCGCGGGCGCGGCACCGCCCGCCGTGCACAAAGGATGACCGCGAGTTACCCCGCTGCGGCAGCCGCGCTCCCGGCCCGCCGCGCCTCCCAGGGGCCGCCGCCCCCGGCCCCGGGAGCCCCGTGCCGGGACAGCCCGGGACAGCTCAACCCAACCCAACCCCACCCAACCCAACCCGACCCCACCCAACCCAGCCGAGCGCGCCTCTGCCGCAGGCGGTGCGGCCGCTCCGCGTTCCCCTGCCACGCCGGAGCCGCTGCCGGAGCCGGTGCCGTGTAGTGGCTCCCGGCTTCTCCCGAGGTACTCACCGCGTCGAGCTCCGCCAGCGCCGCTGTCCCTGCGCGCCTCGGTGCCGAGCCCCGCTGTCAGCCCAGCCCGCGGCGCTGCGCTGGTCCCGGGATCCCGGGCGCTGCTGCGGGCTCCGGTGTCCACCTGCGCCCGGCTCCGCTCAGCGCCCGCACCGGCTCAACCTCGCCCCTGCTCGCCGCCCTGGGGCTTATTTTCCACAGGAGTGCGGCACCGGTCTGGGGCCGCCTGCCCCCCAGGCAGCTCGTCCTCTGCACCGCCTTGTCTCCATTCTCTGCAATTTCAAATCTCCACGCTCTTTCATTCCTGCGATACCGGCTAATTCTGGTTTGGAGGAGCAGATTTGCAATCCTCTCACATGCACACTCTTGTGGCTGAATGAAGTTTATTGCTGCACAGGTTATGGCCGGAAATTTACATCCCAGAGAGCTGGAGGATATGATCCAATAAAATCAGCCAGTATCGATATTTTAACGGCCGTTGAATATGTTTATTTCAGAGCGGCTGGTTGGATTTATGTATCCAAACTACCCTGACAATGCAGCTTGGGAAGTCTCACTGTATGGTACCTTATTTGCACAATAAATAAGTTTCCTTCATATTCCACCCTTGGAGAAGAGCTGCAAAAAAACCATTACTTTTTCAGACCAGTATCCACTCTTCAGTTGGATCTTTCTAAGTAACCTGACTAATGAGGTTTACATTCTGCAATTCGTTGCTCTATTTCCAGTGAATATACCCAGGCTAAGGTGTCTGTATGCCACCACACATCACTTTCATTCTTAGAGATTCCTAGCAGTGCACTAAGTAGTATAAATGAAGGCTGTTCAAGAAGATACAAGAACTATCGTTAGAGAAGACAAAATGAGGAGAGGAATGTTTTAATGGTGTTACACATACTGCCTATGTGCAAAATGTGGTACAAAATCTCTTAGAGAAGAAATGGTCTGAAGAGGGTTAAAAATATGAGTTTGGGGATTTCAAAATATTATTTTTTTTTACATTTTTACTTGGACCCTTTCCCCCATCTGCTGACAAATGCAAGTCTGATCTGACTTTTTCAATAAAAAAATGTGCTATTCCATTACGGACTTAATTTATCAAATATATCAATATGAAACATTACTGTCTGGGTTGGATTCAAGTGTGCAGCAGACTATGAGCTATTGCTAGGGCTTCAGTCTTTACATAAAATTTACACTACTTTGCGTTGCAATCTTCAAAAAGAAATCCTTTTGTAGAATAAATAGATTAGTGTCAGACACTTGTGATTGGGTTTATTTATGTCTCCATAAACAAAACTAGATTTCCATTTAAAAGACTGTGCTAGTGCATTGCAAATGTGTGTCATTCTACAGTACACATGTTCCCTGGTTATTTCATCTTTTACAATAATACCTCGCCCAGCAGTGTATGGCCACTGG